ATTCTTGTTTTTTTGGTCTCATATGATAGAATGGAAGATATATTACAGAAATGAAAAGATTTTGATTGGTTTCACCATGAAAAGTACCTTGAAATTGAGCTCAAAGTAGCAGAAATGTTCGATTTTTTGGGCACTGTTCAAAAGTAAACAAATGACATCATGTCCATTCCAGTATGCAGTCATGAATGGGTTGACATTATTTATACAATTATTACAATAATGCAGTAGTCTGCATAACAGTAAATCTTTTTTTTGTGTGAATAAAAATTACAAATTATTTTTTTTTTTTTATCACACTGGCCGATTCCCACCAAGGCAGGGTGGCCCGAAAAAGAAAAACTTTCACCATCATTCACTCCATCACTGTCTTGCCAGAAGGGTGCTTTACACTACAGTTTTTAAACTGCAACATTAACACCCCTCCTTCAGAGTGCAGGCACTGTACTTCCCATTGTAATAATAATAATAATACGTACATATAATAATAGTATAACAATAATAATAAAAATAGATGTATAATAATAATACATGTATAATAATAATGTACATACTACATATATCATAATTATAATAATAGACTGCTTCAAAAGGCCCTCACTAGATGCCAGTGATTACCACCACAATGCGGGAGTGGTTGTGGCTTCCTCCACTTTGTCACATAATGACATTTTTTATTCAATCTAGAGTATATATCAGGTTTCTATGTTATTTATATTGCTTATTATATCATATTAGATGAATTGTGATAGATAAATAAGCCGTATACATGATATGAGCGTAATATTGAAGTATCTTGTCATGCCTCCTGAGAGCCGGGAACAGATTAATTGCATTTCAATTAATTTAAATGAGGAAAATTGACTCTGCAGATGAGCAAATGAAGATGCGAGCAAGGTCACGGAACAGATTAACCCTTAAACTGTCCAAACAGATCTGCGTTCATGTGCGTAGCGCTCTAACCTTTATTTTCTCCATTTGAAAGCATGTAAAAAAAAATGTAGATCAACGTTCGGAGCGCTACACGTCAACATGGATCTACGTTTGGACAGTTTAAGGGTTAAACTCATAAGCAGAGGTTCCACTGTATATGTATACATCTAAACTGCCGTATCAGGGCGCCTCTGCAAAGACAGTGATTATGTATGAGTGATGGTAAAAGTATTGAATGATAATGAAAATATTTTCTTTTTGTGTTTTTCTTTTTGGGTCACACTGCCTAGGTGGAAAATGGCCAAAGTGTTAAAAAAAAAAAAAGTATATATGCAGAAAGATCGCAGCCAGAAGGGTTCAAACCCATGTTTGGACACTATCTACGAGTGTGGCTTATCTCCCTGTGTGATGCCTTGGACCACTCAGCTACTGATGCTGCAGAATACTAGGTAGCTTGCTTCCAAGCTATATTTCTTCCTAGTGCCAGGCACACCAGTGAACCTCGGGTATGGTCTCCAGCTATTTCATCCTCCTGTATGTTCTGACCTCATGAGTAGGAGACCATGCCTGAGTCTCACTAGTGTACCCGGCACCAGGAAAAAAACATGGCTAGAACCGGGCTATCCAGCATGTTGTTCCATCTGTAGACGAGTGGTACAAGGCGTCACGTGGAGAGCTAAGCCACACTCGTGGATAGTGTCCGAACATGGGTTTAAATCCTACTGGCTGCGATCTGTGTATATACTTCTGTTTGTTTCTGCATGGTGCATTACTGTATGTATCTGTAGGGGGTGAGGGAGGTTTTGTGGGTGAAGGGCGTGGACTTCAGCAAGTGTGTGTGAGCATGTTAGATAAGACTGAATGGAGATGAATGGTTTTTGGGACCTGACGAGCTATTGGAGTGCGAGTAGGGTAATATTTTGTGAAGGGATTCAGGAAAACTGGTTAACTGGACTTGAGTCTTGGAAGTGGGAAGTACGATGCCTGCACTTTAAAAGAGGGGTTCAGGATATTGGCTGTTTGGAGGGATGTCTAAACTGTCGTATCTGAGCGCCTCTGCAAAGATGGTAATTATGTATGAATGATGGTGAAAGTGTTGAACATTGAAAGATTTTTCTTTTTTTTGGGGGGGGGGGTTCTTTTGTTTTTGGGTCACCCTGCCTCAGTGTGAAACAGCTGACTTGTTAAAAGAAGAAATGTATATTTTTTCTTCTTCTTTTTTAACTTTTCAACAAACTGCCTGTATCCCACCAAGGCAGGGTGACCCAAAAAGAAAAACAAGAGTTTTCCTTTTTAAATTTGGTAATTTATACAGGAGAAGGGATTACTAGCCCTTTACTTCCAGCATTTTATTTACTTCTTATGACATGCATGGCTTGTTTATTTATATTATAAAATCATCCTTGGAAATATAATTTTTTTTTTTTTTTTTTTTTTTTTCAGAGTTTCCGGTTTGAGGAGAAGATGCGCTACCGGCAGATGTTGCAACAGTTTACAAACACCTCAGTGTTGCCTAACACATACAGTGTGTATCAGAGATCATGCAGGACCCCAAGTGTATGTAGTAGGTATGTGCAACTGGGTACAACGTTTTGATATTAGCCTCTTGTAGGATCTTTTATTGTACAGTAGTTCAGTGTTGAAGTGGCCTTGATGGCTGCAAAGTGCTCTTGATCCAAGGAATTGTGGTTTCCCTCCCTTTCAACCTTGAATATAATAATACAGGTGACCCTTGCTCTCTGACAGCTGCCTTTTAGGCCAGTGGCACCTAAAGTGAGGTCACACAAAGTAATCTCACTTTAGTATATAAAACGGTTATAATTTTGTATAATTTTGTTCAAAATATACTCATTGGATTTCTCATGTCCAAATTTCTTCTCTTTCTGGTCATACTTTCTTATGAATGTCAGTTTGTAGATATTTTATGATGTGTTAGACAGTAACCTGGGAGTGATTATGTCGGAGGATCTCACCTTCAAGGACCATAACATTGTATCAATCGCATCTGCTAGAAAAATGACAGGATGGATAATGAGAACCTTCAAAACTAGGGAGGCCAAGCCCATGATGACACTCTTAGGTCACTTGTTCTATCTAGGCTGGAATATTGCTGCACTCTAACAGCACCTTTCAAGGCAGGTGAAATTTTCCGACCTAGAAAATGTACAGAGAACTTTCACGGCGCGCATAACGGAGATAAAACACCTCAATTACTGGGAGCGCTTGAGGTTTCTAAACCTGGTATTCCCTGGAACGCAGGAGGGAGAGATACATGATTATATACACCTGGAAAATCCTAGAGGGACTTGTTTCGAACTTGCACACGAAAATCACTCACTACGAAAGCAAAAGACTTGGCAGACGATGCACCATCCCCCAATGAAAAGCGGGGTGTCACTAGCCGTTAAGAGACCATACAATAAGTGTCAGGGGCCCGAGACTGTTCAACTGCCTCCCAGCACACATAAGGGGGATTACCAACAGACCCCTGGCAGTCTTCAAGCTGGCACTGGACAAGCACCTAAAGTCAGTTCCTGATCAGCCGGGCTGTGGCTCGTACGTTGGTTTGCGTGCAGCCAGCAGCAACAGCCTGGTTGATCAGGCGCTGATCCACCAGGAGGCCTGGTCACAGACCGGGCCGCGGGGGCGTTGACCCCCGAAACTCTCTCCAGGTAAAGTGGTGCTGGGCTTGGGTAATCACTTATGAGCTAATTTATACCACTTACTGTAGATTATATGCAATTAGTCACCACATAAAAGTAAATTCACTCAGAGCCAAACTGCATAAAACCAAGAGAGCAATAAATATGTGAGCTACAGTCCCCTTCCTTGTAATATTACAATGCATAACCTGTATGGGTTTAGTGGTGGTCCATGAATATAATAATAATGCAGTAATTCACCTAAACAAGAGTCAATTTGGCAGGTTTTGATACTGTTATTTTAGCTTCTAGCACATACCAATGTCATAGGCAGTAGTCAGTAATGCCTCTATAATATGTTTAGTATACAGGGTTATTATTTATGTGAACTACTATAGTTAAGTATAGAACAAAATTGCTTTACAAACACATTGCCCTCAGATGACATCTCCACTGCCTGCAGCCTTTCTTGTTGCCACTTTCAAACTATGCCTCACCCATACAGAGCAGTGGTATAACTATTACTCTAATACGTCCCATCTTTGCTTTCATGGATAAAGTTCTGTGTTCCCCACAGAATCCTCTGGCACCGCTTGGCCTTTTTTCCCACCGTCATTCTATGATTCGCCTAATCTTAATTGACCCATCTGCTGACTTGTCCACTCCTGATATCTAAAACACATTCACATCCTCCATCTCTCTCCTCAGTCTGATATCCATTTTTTTTTTTTTTTCAACAAAATCAGCCGTATCCAACAAGGCTCGGTGGCCCAAATAAAGAAAACGAAAGTTTCTCTTTACTAATTTAAAATTTTATACAGGAGAAGGGGTTACGAGGCCTTGTCCTGCTTATATCCAATCTTCTGTACCTAATTTTTTTTTGTTATCCTCTTCACCTACTCTTCCTATATTCACTTTTTAGTTAATTCTTTTACATACCCTACCAAGAACTCATCAACCCATCTCTGCACGCTTCTCTCAGAATTCCAAAAGCACAGGGTCACAGCAAAAGAGTAACTGTGACAACTCACCACTTTGTGTTAGCTTCTTTAAACTTTTTAACCCCACACCTCTTGCAACACCCCTTAGCATTCACTTTCTTACTACTCCATCTATTCATATATTGAACAACCTTGGTGACATCACCATCCCTGTTTAAGGCCTACTTTTACTGAGAAATAAATCCCCTCTTGCCTACATACTCTAATGTGAGACTCACTATCCTCTTAAAAATTTTTACCGCTTTCAGTAACCTACCTCTATACTTGCCCTTATCCACCCTATCATATCCTTTTCAAATCTTAAATGCCACAAAACCTCTTTACCCTTATCTTTATACTGTTCACTTATGCAATTTCACTGCAAACACTTGGTCTACCACTCCATACATTTACTAATGCATACTTGTTATTATGTATCATGCTCTCTGTCGTATCGTAATTCCCTGTAATAACTCTACCATACACTTTACCAGGTATATTCACCGACTTTTCCCTATTTAATTTTTACACTTCTTTTGTACCCTTTGCTTTTTATACAAAGGAACTATGGCATGCTCTCTGCAATTCCTAGGTACTTACCCGCTTCCATGCTTTTATTAATAAAACACTTAAAACCTCTCTTCTCTCCATGTAATCTATCTCCTTGGCATCACTTATACTATTTGTAAAACTCTCTTGATAATTTTTTCTCTTTTACTGCTTCTTTACATCTTAATTCCACCAAACTCATTCTTCCTCCGCCACCACATTCTGTATCACAAACTTCTGCTGTACACTATAACCTTTATTCTTGAACTTACCCCATACATCTTCGACCTTTGCCTGTATTCTCATAGCCCATCTGTCTTCAAAAACAGTGGTTTATATCTTACCAGCTATAACTGCCTCATACTTTAGTTTTATAAACGTTCACTTCATCTTACTGCTGCTTTATTTTCCTTTTTATCCAATCACCTTGTACTCCTACGGTATTCTACAACTAAAAAGTAATATGATATATCTGTGGCCTCTATAAACATGTACATCCTGTCATTTCGCCCTAATCGTATCTTGTATACTTATTTATCTTTTTCTTAAAATATGTGTTTCTTACAAACCCCCTTTTATACTAAAGTTTCAGTCAGATGCTCCCCATATCATTTTCACTGGCACCCAAAATTTACCTACACCACTCTCTAAATTGTCTTTCTTACTTCTGAAGCTTTAGTTTTTAGTTTAAAGAGGTTACATTTAATTATTTCACTGGATATATGCATATATAACACTGTTATAAAATTGCTAAATGTAAAAAGAATAGCTGTCATTTTTCTTTTTGGGTTACCCTGCCTTGGTGGGATGCAGGCGGTGCTTAGAATATATAGTTAGGTAATAGTCTGGTGAAAAGGTGGATAAACCTGGAATTTTTGATGCATATTGTTCTTAGCTTGTTATTGAAGCTTGTGGTGTTAGATGTTAATAAAAGTGGAAAAGGTGTGTGGGTGAGTTGATGGTAATATGTGGGACAAAAATCGTTACCTATGGAGGGCAAAGAAGGGAGTGTGTGAAAGTATAGTAGTACCAAACACTCTTGTATGGGTTGTGAAGCTTGGTTGTGAAATGCAGCAGGAGGAGGCAGTTGGGTGGCCAGTGGAGATGACCTGTTATGGGCAAATGTGTGGTGTAAATATTATTGCGAAAATTTTGGAAGGGTGTGGTAATTAGGAGGTTTGTGGATTTAATAATAGTATTAGTTCGAGGGCTGAAGAGGGGTTGTTGAGGTGGTTTGGTCTTTAGAGAGGAATGGATCAAAGTGAATGACATGGATAGCGTATAATCTGTAGGGAAGTTAGGGCGGGGTTGGGTTCATCTCGGAATAAATGTTTGGAAGGAAGGGGTGTAAGGGAAGTTTTGTAGGGTGAGGGGCTTGGACTTCAGCAGGCGTGCATTGAGCGTTTCGATAGGTGAATGGATACGAATGGTATTTGGACCTGACGATATGTTGGAGTGTGTGCGGGTAATATTTAGTGAAGGGATTCAGGGAAACTGGTTATTTTTGTTATAGCCCCATTCTTGAGTCCTGGAAATGGGAAGTTATAATGCCAGCATCTAAGGAGGGGCTGGGTTATTAGCGGTTTGGAGGATATTGTTGTGTTATCTTTATATGTATATGCCTTTAAACTGTTGTGTTATGAGACCTCCAACAAAAACAGTGATTATGTGAGAGTGAGCCCCCCCCCCCCCCTCCCCCCCCCCCCCACCCCCCCCCCCCCCCCCTAACCCTAAAGTGTGAATGATGATGATAATATTTTATTTTTGGGGATTTTCTTTTTGGGTCACCCTGCTTGGTGGGAGATGGCGGGACTTGTTAAAAAAGAAAAAAAAAGTTTTTCTGTGTCTGGGTTATTTGTATATAGTTACAGTAACGCGTATTGTGTGCACTTCTTTCTTTCTTCTCACTGTTTACCGTGTTGGATTATACCTATGAAGGAACTCGTGGTAGGAGTGAATTAGACTCACACTCCTTCCTTGGATCAAACCTATTGCTCACATTCCCTAACTTTTTATTGTAACATAGCTGTCTCCCTCCAAGACGCGTGACTTAAAAAAGAAAGTAACACTTCCAATATCATTCTCACACACTCACTCTTAGAGAAGTACACAGATACATTCAGTTCAGATGTCTCTCCGAACTGCTAATATTCAAGTCCTTGCTTTAAAGTGTAGGGGCTTTGTACTTACACTCCAGGACTCAAGTCTGCCTAACCAGTTTCCTGAATCTATTCACAAAATTTTACCTTGCTCTTGCTCCTACAGCTCGTCAAATCCAAAAACCATTTGTCTACACTCGCTCCTATCGAACACTCTCTCATATGCTTGCTGTATGTCAAGGCCCCACTTGCACACAAATCCTCTTTTACCCCCACCTTCATCCTCTTCTAGGACAGACATACCCCTCTACTACAGATCTGTAACCTCCAAAGCCATCCTATTTTGCCCATCTCTCTAAATGATCAAACATCTCAACAACACATTAATAGTTTAGTATTTTCTCATTGATTTACAACACCAGCTTCTTAATTATACAGAATTATCATTAATATTAATATTAATTTATAAATTGGTATATTTTTTCACCCATTTTAACTAATAAATTTTGTTTGTAGTTTCAGTGTTCTTTCCGCAATTTGACAGGTTGCAAAGAAATTAAATAATTATGTAAGTACACACAACACATACAAGGTCAACCAACATTATTGTGTAATTTTGGGATGACTGAAGCAGATGGGAACTCAGCAATCAGCAGTTCGTAGTCATTGACTTTGTGAAATCACAGAGTACCAGCAGCTTGTGCATGTGGCAATTGCTGGTGAATAATTTAAAGGTAGATGGTCCAGGGTTGTGCAGTTGTGTGGTTTGTGACCCATGTTACAGTTTTTTTAAAAACAAAAAGATAATACTTTTTGAGGCTTAAATTGATATAAAATCCGCTTCTGTTGGTATCATGAGTTTTGTTCATCTTCAATAAGCCATTTTGTCAAATAACTTCATTGGGAGTTATTCTAGTTGTATATTAGTAGTATTCAGTTACAGAAAGATGATGAATTAGACACGTGTGCAACATCTGGGTATCTATACTTGTAGACATTTCACTATTTCAGTGGGCTTTATCAGTAAGTACATGGAATAATTAATAGTATAACAGCAATAGTGGTAGTGAAGTAATCCAGTCCTCAGACTAGGAGAAGGTTGCTGAGCACACTGCAAGTACTTTATGTAACAATTACTTAACAAGTGCTTGGACTTTTTACTGCCTGCAATAGCAGGCAGTAAAATCATTGAGTACTAAAACAATATCAAAGGGATGTTACTGAAAAGCACTTGAATATTTTTTTTTACTAGCATTGTGCTGTTCCTACAGACTCTGAAACTGAGAGCGTCATCTTCGTGGAAGAAGTGAAGAAACCTTAAAACACGGAAATTCATTAGAACAAATCCTGCAAGAGTCTTCCATCTATAGCAAGGACTGGTGGAAGAAACGGTAAGATATCAAGTAAATTAAAACATTTGTACCCCATTACTTTTTCACAGTTGTCAATTAAACAGTACCACTATTATTCTTGGTACTTTTGTTCAATAAAAACGTATGGAAAGAGTGAAGGTACCTGGGGACTGGCAGAAAAACATGCATAGTTCTTTGATAAAGCAAAGGGGAACAAAAAAAAGGTAAAAACTATAGGGAATAAGACCGGATGGAGGGTCTAGAAAGATGAAACTGAGCATAGAATTGATGAGGGATAATATGGAGCAGAATTATATCTTAGAGAGTTGGAGAAGTGTTTTAGGGTTACTAAAAGTTTTATCCAGAGAGCTGAGGAGGGAATTTTGAGGTGGGTTGAAAAACTTAGAGAAGATGAGGAGTGAAATAGGATGACTTGGAGGGTGTACAAATCTGTAGTGGTGGAAATAGTGGGTTGGGTCACCCTAGTTATGGTTTGAAGGCTTAAAAATCAGGCAAGGAAGGGAAATAGTGTTTGATAAGAGATGAGGGGAAGGTAAGGAAGTAGTTTTGGATGTTGGCAATGTTAGTGGTGAGCATGTATTATTTTTATTTTAAGCAAGGGGGAAGCGCTAAACCCGGAGGAATTATACAGCGCCTGGGGGGGAGGGATGTGGAAGGCATTTCAGGCGTAATTCGGGGATACTGGAGCACAGATCCATTTCCCTAAATCAAGTGCCACTCACCAACATCAAGGAACTTTCCTTGAGGGGTGTGGAGCAGGGTACATTTGGTGAAGGTTTCAGGGAAACTGGTTAGGTGGACTTGAGTGTTTCTTCCTCTTCTGGTTACCTTCCTACATTGGGATATTGACTGACTGTTAAAATATGTATATTGTGTGTGAGTGAAAGAATGACCCTACTCAGGTTAATCATTTGATATAAGCCTTATTTATTTTATATACCATTATGCATATCAATGATTAAATAAAAGAAATTTTGATTAATTACTATGTCTAAGTGAATAGGAATTAGTTGTCGACTGCTTTCAGGTCTTCACAGATGTTTATAATTTGACACCTTACTCACAAAATCATAATAACACAATCACAAACAAACCATGGAATGAGTGGAATTTGAACTTGTGATGGGTTCAAATCCCCACTTGTTCCATGGTTAATTTGACCTTTCTTTTCAGGCGTGAAAAGTATGAAACGCAAAGCAAAAATGAGGATGTGGAGATTGAGTTTGCATCTCAAAGGCAAAGAAAATTAACAGAGAAGCGAATACAGCAACAAAATTCCCTAGAAGACAGAATTACACACAGGTTGAAATACCTGGACCTGAGTTTCCCATCTAAGGTGGAGGAAATACCACCGGAGCTTGAAGTGGAGCCACAGCCGCAGGAATTTATACAACTCACTCCTGAGATGGAGGTAAACATTTAACCCTTTCTATATTTTCACAGGGCAGGGATGTAGCTTAGATAATTATACTTTGCTTATATCTGCTTCACTAAAGTTTTATGAAATGATGTTTGCTAAGAATAAAGTGAAAACGGGACTAAAAATGAAATCTGAAGCCTATAAAGAAATAATTGTAATGTTGGGATTTTTTTTTCTGTAGGATCCATCCAGTATTTTATTTCACCACCTCTCCTTGATTGTATGGTTAAGGGTCTTGAACCAAGGAATTGGAGCTACCTCTCCTCCCCCTACTTAGATCAAAATTGATTATTATCTTTATCCAAAGGGTGAGTTGTTTTTTAATAATATAAGGGTCTTGCAAGGGAAGGCATTCATGTGGGATCTAAAATGAAAACCTCTCAGTGGCTTCTAATTACATGCATTGTGAATATAAATACATCCTCTCCTCACTTAGTGATGTTCTCGTTTACTGACTCTCGGACCTTTTGGACTGGCTCTCGACCAGTTATTTTACTAAGAAAAATGTTATTATAGAGCTGATTTCCTCGTATATGTTTTTCATTATACAGTACACTACTGTATAAACATTTAAAATATCCAGAAATGTTATAAAATTGGTGCAAATGTGACATTTTTAATACGATATCAATATGTGGTTGACACAACTCACTCATTATAGTATGCTCCTCTCTTAGTGACAATTCGTTTAACGACGTGGGTCTCAGGAAACAGAACTCCATCGTTTAAGCGAAGGGAAAGGCTTGTATATGCAGGTGAGAAAGTATCGTGCATGCACTCGATCGGAGAAGCAGGAGATATGTTGCTGTTTTGTGAAAGCTCTAATATCAGCACACTGTAGCAAGACAGTGATGGTGGAAGTGATTATTTTGGGGTCATCCTGCCTTGGTGGGAATCAGCCCATGTGGTTAAATTGGCAAAGGTAGTTTTTTCATTTGTCAAAATGTAATAATATTGGATTATGTATATGTTGTTACTAGTATATTGGTTTTTTTGTTCACAATTATACAAAAATTAATTCTAAGAAAATGAAATATTTTAGAAGAACAGAAGTTATATTTCATTATATCTGTGAAACAGTGGCTGAAGAGGCTGAGACACTGAGTAGTGAACAAAAACATTTTTTTCTTTAATGAATGTTTTCTATTCTTATTAATGTTAGATTTCTAATCCTATATATTTACCCATTTTTATATTTTTTCAGGATGTAATTGACAGTGCCCTAAAGAAGTTCCCAGCAAGTGAGGTCCTAGTAGACAAATTCAACATTCAAATTATTCGTCGAGATATTGCTACATTGTCAGGACTAAACTGGGTCAATGATGAGGTAGTACTACTTGCTACAAGATTATAAAGTAGAAACAGTGTATTGGTTTTAAAACAGTCTCTCTCTGATTTCTTAACTGGCATTGATATGCTTTATCAGTTATGATGTTCTTTGTCTCGTCCTTTCCTTAGTACTGTACCCCCATCACTCTTTTCTTTATACAGTGGTACCTTCGGGATACGACTTAATTCGTTCCAGAATGCTGTTTCGAGTGCCGATCCGAAGAATTTCTTCCATGAGGAATATTGGTAAATTAGATTAATCTGTTTCAGACCCCCAAAAATACACTTACAAAAGCACTAACATAAATACACTTGCATAATTGTTCAAGTTTTGAGCTGTTGGATCCGAGGTACCACTGTATGTGATAGAATAACAATATTTTGTGAATGGGATTCTGGGTGGGTAATCAGTTAGCCGGGACTTGGTCATGGAAATGGGAAGTACAATGCCTGCAATTTAAAGGAGGGTTTGGGATATTGGCAGTTGGAGAGATATCTAAACTGTCATATTGAGCGCTCTGCAAAAAGACAGTGATTGTTGAGTGATGGTGAAAGTGTTGAATGTTTATGAAATTTTTTTTCTTTCTTCTGGGTCCCCGGCCTGGTGGGTACATGGCCAACGTGTTAAAAATAATATAATAATAAACCCTTTTCTATAAAATTACTGAATGTATTAGAGGTATACTTTATAGTTTGTTCTTCATTTTTGAGTCGCCATGCCTTGGTGGGAGAGATACAGCAGTATGTTGATAGTATAAATAATTAATTTTGTGAAGTGGAGGTGGACCATAATGCTCCTGCTTGTTGTGGTATAATATGCTATCTAGTGACTGCCTTTTGTTGCCGTCTGTTATTATATTATTATTATATGTCGCATTATTATTATGCATGTATTATTTTTATTATTATTATTGTTATTATTATTATTAAATATAAATAAGTTGGAATTCTTTATTCACACAAAAAATTTACTGTTACGCAGTCTACTGCATTATTGTAATAATTGTATAAATAATGTCCATTCATGACTGAATGTTGAAATGGAGGTGATGTCTTGAACATCAGCAAAAATAGAACATTTATGCTATTTTGAGCTCATTTTCAAGGTATTTCTCACATGAAACCATTCAAAATTCATTATTTATTTTTATAATATATCTTCCATTCTATCAAATGAGACCAAAAAAACAAGAATACAACAAAAACCACACGAAAATACCGCTAAGGGACGGCTAATTGCTGAGAAGGGAACTCCATTATTTATGGTCCGACTTCTTTCATTTTTGGTGTACGTTAAGAAGCATCTTTCCATCATACACTACCCAAGTTTCAATAAGATAGTCCAACAAACAAATGAGATGCAATTCCCTAGATCATGAGCAAGAGCCCCTCACCAATGTTAACGAACCACCTTTGAGGCCCACTCACTTATGGAAACAAAAAATTGACCAACTGACTGCTTGTATTTGGAAAAACTCGCACGTGGATACGCTCGCAAGTGGAGGTCCCACTGTATTTTTTTTTTTTTCCAACAAATTGGCCGTCTCCCACCGAGGCAGGGTGACCCAAAAAAGAAAGAAAATCCCCAAAAAGAAAATACTTTAGCATCATTCAACACTTTCAACCAACACTCTACATTAATCACTGTTTTTGCAGAGGTGCTCAGAAACACACTGTTTAGAAGAATATACGTATAAAGTTATAAAAAATAATCCCTCCAAACTGCCATATCCCAAAACCCTCTTTTAAAAGTGCAGGTCATTGTACTTTCCATTTCAGGACTCACGTCCAACTATATGATAATAACGGTTTCCTGATTCCCTCACTAAATATACCCTGCTCTCACTCCAAAAGTTCGTCTGGTCCATGTACATCGGCTCCATTCACTTATATAACACGCTCAAGACCACTTGCTGGAAGCCCCTCGCCCACAATCATCCTTTACACCTCTCCTACAACCCTTTCGAGGACGACCCCTAAACGCCTTCCTTCCCTATAGATTTATATTGCTTTCCATGTCATTCGACTTTGTTCCATTCTCTCTATATGACCAATCCACCTCTACAAAACTCTTCTGCCCTGACTAATACTTTTATTTAACTCCATGCCTTTTTCTAATTTCCATACTCCGAATTTTCTGCATAATACAGTGGAAACCCGCTTAACATCGCTCCCCCAATTTGCCGGAATCCCAATTATGTAAGTGTATTTATGTAGGTGAGTTTGTTGTGTATGTTTGGGGGTCTGAAAAGGACTAATCTCTATTCACAATATTCTTTTGGGAACAATTCGTCAGTTCTGGAACATGGAACTTACTTCTGAATGAAAAATATCGTCCTACGGGGGTCCAATGGTTTTCACTAAACATTACCTTAGACAGGACATCTCCACTGCTCAACCGGTCTCGCGCTGCGGCCATTTAACCCAAGCTTAACTCCATATAAGTGTGTTGGTAACTACTGCTATACTTTCTTACATTCCCTCTTTGCCTCCATAGACGTATAAAGTATGTCTCATTGATCTCCACATATACATCACCTTTTTTACCTCATCATTTCTATGAGTAACCTCATATTCATAAAACCATCTGTTGACACGTTCAAACTCTCAAGTATCTGAAAACATTCAGTTCTTCCATACTACTCTCCCCCAATTTGATATCCAAATTTTCTTTTATCTAAATCTTTTGATTACTAATCACCTTACTCTTTTCTATGTTCACTTTCACTTTCTTCCTTCACACATCATCCAAACAAAAATCATCCACTAACCTTTGCAATTTTTCTTTAGAAACTACCATAAGAACAGTATCATCAGCAAAAAGTAACGTGTCAATTCCCATTTTGAATTTGAAAATTCCCTATAATTTAATCCTCCCCTCTCCGAAACCCTAGCAATTACGTCTTTTACAACCCCATCTATAAATATATTAAAACAACCTTGGGTGACTTTACACATCCCTGTTAAGGACCTACTTTTACGGAGTAGTCTCCTCTCTTCTAAACCACCTAACCTGAGCTTCACTTATCTCATATAAAAACTCTTTTCCGCTTTTAGTAATACTTACCACCTATTCCATATACTTGCACATCTGCCACATTGATCCTATATCAACTCAATATATGCCTTTTCAAAATCCATAAATGCAATAATATAAAACTTCCCTTCCTTTAACTAAATACTGGTACATTTATTGCTTCAATGTAAACACTTGTTCTACCTTCTTCCCTACCCACTCTGACTACCTCCTTGCTCATCCGCATCCCTACTTTCTGTCTTACTCTAATTCTTTCAATTATAACCCTCCGTACATTTTCCTGGTATAAATCAGTAAACTTATTCCTCTATAATTTTTACACTCTCTTTTGTCCCTTTCCCTTTATTTAAAGGGACTATACATGCTCTCCGCAATCCCTAGGTACCTTTCCCTCTTTCTTTTTTTTGTTCATTTACTTAACAAAAGTACCAACCACTCAACACAATATCCCCCTGCTTTTAAACATTTCTGTATGATTCCCATCAGATTCCAGATGCTGTCCCCATTTTCATTCTACGGAATGCCTCACATACCTCCCCCAACTTACATTCTGCTTTCTTTCTCTTAAAGATGGTATTACTCCTGGCAGTTCATGAAATTACTGCCTCCCGTTTCTTCCTCAAAATTTAACCCTTTGGGGTCAACAGGCCCTCTTCGAGACTCGTTCTCAGGGTCGGCCAATTTTAAAAAAAAAAAAAATCTAATGAAAAGTTAGAGAATCTTTTCCGATCATATGTCACAAAATATGAAAATTTGAGGAAAACTACGGAAAATTATGCTCTCACGAGTTAGCTGTCTCGGCGATGTTTACGAATCGGCGATATTGCCACTTTTGAGCCCATTTTCGGCCAGTTCCACTGTTCTAGTCGACAAAAAAACATGTATATTTCGCTAGAACTCCATTTTTTCTATTGATTGAGTCAAGATAACCACCCATTTACCAATTTCAACTATCAGTTACAGTGGTCAGAAGTTTAGCAATTTTGCCAGTTTACACAAATTTCAAAATGATGCCAATTTCGAATGGGTCCAGAAAACAAACAAGAAATAAATTTCCTGCAATAAAATGACATTTCCTCTGTTCATTAGTCACGTCTCAAGCCACTCTTACATTCTTTTGATTTCACAATTTGGAATTTTTATTCTCACAAAAAAAATAGAAGATTTATGTATGCAGATACTGCATTAGTGTAAAAAATTGGTATGAATCATATTGGGGCACTGCAAAAGAATTTTAGGACTCGCCAGTTGACGTGTATTGGTCGCTGGCTTGATTTGTTTACTTTTGAACTTGGTATAATCGACATTTATGACTACTTTGAGCTCAAATTTCAGGTACTTTTCATGGCAAAACAGTTCATAATCATCTTTTTTCTATGATTGCCTTCCTTGCTATAAAATGTGACCAAGAATACTAGAATTCAACAATAAATACCATACGAAAATACAGTGCAAAGTCGCTGTTTTTTTCAAAAAAAACGGTCAGTTTTTTTTTTGTTCTCTTATATGCACTGTTGCTGCAGATTTTTTTTATACCGTACACAATGACCACATAGACCATTCTTTCATATGAGGGCTACCAGCGTTTCTCCACTAGATTTGAGGGCGCTAGAATTTGGCGTATAGTACGTCAAAAACCTAGGTCCGTAAGCCGTATAGTACATCCGAACCTCAAAGCGGTTAAAAAGTTCCTCTAAATATTCTCATGCCTTCGACCTAATACCTCCATATACCAATCTAATAACTCCCCTACTTGTTTTTAAACTGACAAATCCATATTTACATTGGCTTTCTTAACTTGTTAACTCATTCTAAATTTTTTTTATTTTCAATTAAAAATTTCTGTCAGTGCCTCTCCACTCGATCATCTGCTTCCTTTTGCACTCTCTCACCACTCTCTTCACTTTCTTTTTCTCTCCATATTACTCTGCTCTTCTTATAACACTTCTGCTTTGTAAAATACCTCTCACTAGTTCCTTTTTCTCTTTTATCACACCCTTTACTTATCAGTCCTCCAATTCACTCCTCTTTCCTTCTGCCCCACCCCCTATAACACAAACTTCTGCCAACTTTCTAATTCTGCATTTTTTAAAAACTATTCCAACCTCTTCAACCACCCCCCCCCCCAATACTATCTTTGCACTAGCCCACCTTTCACCTCCCTCTCACTAGTTGTTGCCCACCTTCCTCTTTTCCCATCTACCTCTTACTCTAACGTAGCTACATAACCTTATTAATGATCCGATTATCAGTGCCCCTCTATAACTTGGGCATCTGGAGACTACCATAACCTTGTATCCACCACTATATAATCTAATAAATTACAGTCATTACAGTGCTACATCATACCTAGTATTATTTATTATCCTCTTTTTCATAAAATAGTATTACTTATTAGCAAATCTCTTACTAAACATAGCCAATTAAAGCTTCCATTTACTTTTACCCCTGTACCCAAAATTTTCCTACTACTCCTCCATAATTTTTACAAACTTTAGCATTGAAATCCCCAACACCATTACTCTCACACTTGATCAAAACTCCCACACTTCACTACTTTACCAGAATCTCTCTTCTCTCTCTACTCTTCTCTCTTTCCAGGTGCATACACGTTTACTATAACCCACTTTTCACATCAATCTTTATTTTACTCACATAATCGGGAATTAATACATTTATAGTACCTCTTTTCCTGCCTTACCTTATCCTTCAACATTATTGCTACGCCTTCTTTAGCTCTAACTCTATTTGAAACCCCTGACCTAATCCCATTTATTCCTCTCCATTGAAACTCTCCCACCCCCTTCAGCTTTGTTTCACTTAAAGGGGACATAAACGCGTCTTCTCATTCATAACATCCACAATCATCCTCTTTCTTTTCCTTTGCACATACATCCACCGCAATTCAGACTTCCCACTTTGACAATTTTCTTCTTCTTATTCTTTTTAGTAATCTTTACATTGTTCCATTTACATTGTTACATTTACATTGCCCATTGTTCCCGGCATTTTAGTTGACTTATACAACACGCATGGCTTACGGAGGAAAGATTTCTATTCCACTTCCCATGGTTAAAAGGAAAAAGTAATAAGGACCAAGAACTATTAAGATAAAATCAAAGAAAACTCAGATGAGTGTGT